TGAAAACCACGACCGTATTGCACGAGTAATTGAACAGTGGAACCCGTTTACAGTACAAATACTCATTAAACCGCGGTGTACGGGTAAAGTGAAATCATCAAGGGCGTTTTCGATTTATTAATAGAGCTGGATGTCGTAGAGAATCAGCCGATCCACAGCTGATATCTGTAGCTGTAAGTAAATGTAAATTAAAGTGCTTTCCGATCAAATGGTGGACACAATAAAAGCCTCGACCGACTAGCGTGACGAAGGTTCAAAAGATCCGCGTGTAGCAGCAAGCGGGGAGCAGCCAGAAAAGCCAATGCACAGCTAGCTACGGAAATGAAAACGGAAAGTCCTGCGAAATGATGCGGTGTGGATACAGTGTGGACGAGGGTGAAAAGCGATGGGGGTGCAATCACCCGGTTTTTGTCAGCGCAAAAGTCGCCTAATCAGTATGTTCATTTGTTGCACGGGCACGCTGGCTGTCACTCGCACACATTCCCGAGCAGCACGCGAGAGAGCTGCAGCAGTATGTATGAGGAAAGAAAATAAATGCGAAATGGACAAAGACATAAACGAAAAGATCACTGCCAAATCGGTTATCTTTTAAAAAGATATTACACGATGAAATAGAGAAGAAAAAATCCTTTGCCTTCTATTTTTTTTTTTTTTTTGAGTTTATACATCGTTTTCCTTAAAGATTATATCACGCAAACGAATCTTCTTATACATTTTTCCTTTATGCTTAAAGGGGCTTTGGAAAACCCGGGAGGATCGTTCGGAATTTAAATGAGACGAGATTTCTAACGAAATACTTATTTTTCTCATCCCGCATGTGTCTCAATCTGTAACAAATTGTTAGAAAATTATAACCCTACTACGAGAAGCTGGCAACGTACAATTATTTAGACACTCGTTTAATAATACAAGCCGTGCATCGTTTGCGCTTTACAAGAATTACCGTTCCTAATCAGCATAATCATTCCTTAACGACATTTAATACAGGACATCAACAATCAACCTTTCATTTTTATGAGCTCTAACATACCTTTTTTTTGCAAGTGGCCTAATGACGGATGGCTGGAATAAGTCGAATAAGGCTTCAAACATGATAAATATTGATGACAAAATGAATCAGCTTAATGACGATCCATTTACATTTTTGTATTTTTTTTTTTGTTATCCATAAATAATACAGAAGATTAATAATTTAATATTATACTCAAATACTAGGTTTTTATGTAGGCGCCTAATCGAATAAAAAGTATTACAACATTGCATTGCATTACTTATAATTCAAACAGTAATCTATAATATTATAATTTCCTGTAAAGTAATGCCAGAAAAGCAGAATATTTTACTTCTCCTGTAGGGGTTGTCGAAAGAAAAAATATATATATATCTATTACATTATAATGATAATAGTGTACCTAACGACTCTGAGTTGCGCACTCTTAAATTTAATTGATAAGTATTTTAAATAAACGAAAGACACTATTCTCCACAGTATCATTGATCCAACTTGATTTCACGATGTTATTATGTATAGGTATATTTATTATATTACTCTAATTTATTATTACAGCATGACATAATATATATAATTTAATGTATTATAATTATTATAAGATTTGTTAATCTATAATTGAATTACGTTTTTTAAATACTAATATAGATACTACATTTTTTTATAAGGGATTTAGGTTTTACAATTATGATTTATTTTTACAATGTTTTTGTTAAAATTATATAATTTATTATGAATGTATTTTTTTTTCAAAAACCAATATTATTGAACTAAATAAATAAACTAAACAAACTAATGTTCAAATTTGATTTTTGCTTGTGTAACATTATTTTAGAATAGTTCAACAAACGAAACTTTGAAATGTAGCAAATTAAAAAAATTACAATAAACTGTACTTACACATTTACTGAACACACTTCGTACAACCTAAATGAAATATATGAGACGATTTCACTAATCAATATGGTCTATTGAAAAATAAATGTATTATTAAATAACTAGAAAACAGATTTGGCATTTTAAATTTTTATCAAAGAACGTAGATAATCGGCTTACAAAAGTCTGTTTTTGGAAAACAATTTTCGAAGCAATATAGTTGTGTTCAAATCCTCAATTGATTATAAAATAAACACAGGTCTTTAAAGAGAGTTTTTTTACTGTGATTTCTACAGTATAGTCAGAATTAAATTTCTTAATTACAATTTTAGCTGTAATAAATCAATGTAACAATTAATAAAAAAAATAGACGAGAACTTAAATAAGTGAGTCATAGATAATATATATATATATATTATATATATTATGACTAATGAAGTGCGGTGAGCTTTTCTGAAAAACAAAGGTTTTAAGCTGAAGAAATAATTATTTTGTTGCAAGTTAATACGCTCTATTATTATTATGTTTATAATTACCAGCTTTCAATAATAAATTACGATTTGAAAAATATAGTGTCTACTCCATTTTTCTAATCCCAAATCATAAATTATTCTGCTCAATGTAATGTAAATAAATTTAAATTGTATAATGACAATCGATTGCTTTCGAATATAAAGATATACCATCCTTCGAACGTAGCTTAATGAAACGCCTCTTCAACATCTATATCTAATGCGTATTAGTTAATAATAATTAACTGAAAATATTTTATCTTTAATATTCTGTACGATATTATTGGTGTACCTACATACTTAAATATAGACTTATTTGACCAATTGTTAACTCGATGGATTTCGAATTACAACAATTATTATTATTAATTGTGCATGGCTGTTACTTGACATAAAAAATAACCATTGTACACCACTGTCGGCCACAACTACGTTGCGGTTATTATAGTATTGTGTGTATGGTATTATAGTACTTATATACGTAAAATATATACTATGGTACAATATAATATGAATAATATAGTGCAAAGTAATATTTTATATTCACATATTACGTGACTAATAACAAGTTTTTACTCGGACTTTCAAAATCTATACAGTGTGCATGCCTAGGTAATACAGATGAGTAATGGCTACACACATAATTATACGCTTAAATACAATAAACTTTGAACAATACTGTCGCATCGTAAAGATGTAGGAAATCGTCACTATATCCCATATAGGTACAAGAAAATATCTCTGAATGAATATGAAAATATGGGCGACGGATATTATGCTTTCTACCTTATTATAACTATCCAAGCGGGAAACGCATTTCATCCGATGGCATTTTGAGGGGGCTCGTTTATAACTCTTTTCACCGACATTTCGTCGCACTGCACACTACACTAAAGTATAAAAGTTGGGGATGGCGACACTAAAAAAAATTGTTCGAAAATTTCTAATTTTGAGTCAGATAGTGACGAGAAACAGACTAGTGGTATAGGAAACAGACGGTGATAATAGTAGGTGATTTATTGTCGTTTGACCAGGAGCGTCCCTAGACAGTTTTCAAGAGGTGGGCGAACTTATTCTTAAAATCTATATATTATACGTATTATAATTTTGGTCATTTTAATTTTGTTAACATAATAGTAATTATATACATATATTAAAAATTGTTATGGCGGGGGCGAACGCCCCTTCGCCCTCCCCCCCCCTTGGGGACGCGTCTGCGTTTGACGATATCGACCAACGGAAATTTTCGTGGCTACCAAGAGAGTGTGCCGCATATACAATTATATAGACGCCGCCGGACGTCTCAACCGATCTTACCATAGTTGTCGGCAAACGGAGAACTACTAGGTTTAAAGAACTTCCTAGCTGTCAAATATGTGAACTGACGGGTTCGAAAAGTTGACATCGATCTTAGGTGAGGTTCTGAATCCTCTGAACTAATCTAACTTTTAAACTAACCTAACCGGCTCGGGTAATCACGGCTAAGTCGACTTCCAGATTTTATTTTAAGGTTGGAGTTCACGACTGTCAGTCTTATGGAACAGTCATTGCGGCCATTTTTTCCGCTATCCGTTTTGTCAATATTGTTTTTGTTTTTTATTTGAGTGAATCTTGAACATTAACCAAAAGTCTTTGTGTCGCCATGCGGAGTAGGTATGTTCTTATTTTTATTGAGTAAATATTGTAGGTACTATTTTGTACTTTATACTCAATAGATAATATAATATAACAAATAACAATTAATATAATATAGTGTCTTACAGTGGCTGAAAATATATGATACGGGTATAAGATGTATGATTTCTTACACTTAAATTTGACCATAAAATGATAACCTATTATATGTCCAATTAAAAATTTGCATAAACATATTTATGCTTGACTAATAAAAATAGGTATTCGATGATGGTTCAAAATATTCTAATGTTTAGATTACTAAACGGTTCATAACCGTTCGGTTTATTCCCAGTTCAACGACACTCGGTGTTTTAACTAAAAAACCAGTTTTTAATAGTTTTGAAATGTAATAATACCATTTTAAATTTTTAAATTATATTTTATATTTTGACCTTGTAATATAATATTTACTATTTTAAATTATTGTATTACATGTTATTTATTTATATATGTATTATAACTGAACTGTATTTCATCAAATTGGATGTTATCAAATTGAGTGGCGGCAAACTGGGTGTCGACGAACTGGGACTACACCGACCGACAAATTTAAACCCTTAAAAAGTATGCGAATAAAGCAATAAGTACTATACTATTTTGTACTTTTGTAGCACACTATTCTTACAAAAACCATCCTAAAAAAGTGCACACCTTGATATTATATAAGCTCTTTGGGGATAATGTTAGAAATTGTTGGGACCCCTATTCGTGCAATTACAACTTTGAACTTTGTCATTCAAACTTGACGGTTACATATCGCAACTATGTTGGAACCTTACTACAAAAGACGAAACCCGCATTCCTTTGGTCCGAACTGGTACCTGTATAGTGTACATTTATCCATTGAAAATAAATCGCAGCTCACATAACAGTTATATATATAATATACATATCATAAGAAAAATGATCAAATAACGGACACTGACCTTTAAAATGGAAAAAGAACGTCGAGTTCCGGAGCCTTTCGAAGATCGGTTCCACTGCGCCGAACGTGAGCGTTTGCAGGTTGTTGTATCTGATGTCAATGAACTTCAGCTTTTCGAGACCATGGAACGTGCGGTCGTCGACAGCGGTCAATCGGTTTTCCGCCAAGATCAGCCGCTGGAGGTTGGGCAGTCCGGAAAATCCCCTGCCGTCGATCGCCTTAATGACGTTGTCCTCCAACACGAGCTCTTCGAGGCACACCAGCTCGGCGAATGCATCCGGGCCCACCCGGTCCAAGTGGTTGGCCCGCATGTCCAGCCTTTTTACGGACACCAATCCGAGGAACACATACCTGGACAGCGATCCCGTCAACCTGTTGTCGGACAGGTCGAGCTCTTCGAGCTTACGCAGTTGCTCGAACGCCCCCTCGGCAATGTAACTGATGTTGTTCCGGTCCATGTAGAGCTTCCGGAGCGAGGGTAGCCGGGCGAACACGTCGTTGCTGATGCTCTCGATGGCGTTGTCGCCGAGTGTGACCACGCGCAGGTCCTCCATGTACGCGATCGAGTCCCGGGCCAGCTGCACGATGTTGTTCCGGACCAGGGCCAGGTCCTGCAACCGGGACAGGTTGGCGAAAGCGTGCGAGTGCACGGTCCCGATGTCTGCGTACACGATCTCCAGCGTCCGGAGCTCGGGCATCAGGGCCAGCGCCTCGGTGGGCACGAACGACAACGTCTTGGACGAGGTGCCGCGCACGTTGAAAGTCAGCTTGGTCACGTTGGACTGCGATCCGAACCCGCGCCAGACGGCCGAGTCGCGGGGCTCGCCGTCGTTGAACACCCAACAGTCGGCCGACGTGGCCGCTAGTGACTTCGAGTCGTCGCAGTAACAATACAAGTTGATGGTGGTCTTCTGTTCGAGCGAGCACACGTTTATATCGGCGCCGACACCGCCGCCGCCGCCGCCGTTCTTGTCGTCGTCGGGGTAGCTCCGCACTCCTGGTCTCTGATTTTTCACTCTCCGGTTCGACACGTAACCGTGGTTGCCGTTCACCAGGACTGCGAAGACCAACCACAGGGCCACGAACTGTTGTCGACGCGCCATCACGAAAATCTGAGGGAAAACAAAAATCATATGAGTTTCAAGTTACAAGCGTATAATATTGTTATTGTTTCCCGTTTACAGCTGCAGTGGGCATACAACACTGCGTTGGTCGGTTTAAGAGTTAAGAGATATCGATGGGATATTATATCTGTTGACAACAATATATTGCCCTCACCTGTCGATCGACCCGTCGACGCATTTCCGAGTGCCGCGAATACTCGATGCGCGCAGTGTACGGAAAAATAGATTTCCGATGACATACTTCACCCGCCGTGGCGGCTTTTAAACGGTTTATGCGGTATGTCTCTTATATATAATTTTCTTTAAGTGGCTGTTGTCACGACACAATATTTGTTTTTCCAAAATATTAGTATAAATGCGTATTATACACTTGCATAGAGGTACCTATCCCCAACAACGTTTAAATAGGGTTTCCTGTCGTGCGAACGACTCACGAATAATTCACGAACAACGGCGATGACATAATAATGAAATATTTATATATAATACGCGTTTCTTATAGTGTACACGACGAATCGATAGAGTATTACCTTACGGACGGCATATTTTATATATCATATTGGCTTTCATTTTGTCCGTGTGTGTTTTGCCCCCCCGTGACGTGTCAGAAGACTACCTTATATACCTACTGCAAAAGCCACTGTGCACATACGTACAGCTAACGGGTGGGGTGAACACGTATATACGTATATACAATATACATTTTATATGGATTATGGGTTGCCTTTTTTTCTCCTTTTTATGCGCTTCCGCTCACACCCCTTCCCCCTACCCTACCCCACCCATATACAATTGACCGCAGGCCCTCCTCACACAAAAGGAATTGTTGGCCATTCCGTGAGCAGTTCGCCGTTCATATCGTGTGTGCGTGCGTGCGTGTGTGTGTGTGTGTGTGTGTGTGTGTGTGTGTGTGTGTGTGTGTGTGTATACACGTGCTCATTCAATATTGAAATGTCCATTGCGCTTTACGTGCTCCCCACGCGGTTCGCATACGTACACTGTTTGTTTTAATATTGCAAGCGTTTCGCCTTTGGCAGGAATAAAAAAAAAAATTCACCGAGTTTGCATGGGTGAAACTCACGAGTCGGCCATAATTCATGCACGCGTAAACGTCTCGGGATTCGAGCCGTTAAGTCTTGATGTGTCTAAACCACTATGGCTAGCAAGTACACCAGCTATTAGGTACCTACCTACAAAAAGACTTGGTGTGCTATATTTGTTTCGACTTTTTGAAAATTCACCAACCCCCCCCCCCCACTTCTATCACTGTTGACACCGAATTACATTATATTTTACACGATTGGAAAAATCTTAATTAGATGGGCGTCGCCGACACAAGTGTTCTCTGCGAGTCCCCCCCTAAGTGGGCGTGGTTGTCATCGTATTGTAACCCGAGGGTTCTCTACACTGCAGCAGTACGGTGCCGGTGGTGAAAGGGGGAAAACGGTAATTGGAAAATGATTCAATTATCATTTGGCTAGACACCGTGGCAACACAGACTTCCCACACGGTGATTCTGCTATGGCGTTTCCGTGAAATCAACGCGTAAAATGTCAAATCATTTCTCCGAGAGAACCAACAGAACGAAACATAAATGTTTATCATAATAAAATAAATCACAAATAGCCTATACCAACGTCATACAAACTAGTATACGATTAAATTTATTTATTAAAAAATCACACGTTCTTTTTGACTCGAGTTGTATACCATATGTCTATATATTATATATATATATATATATTAATAAAATATGTTTGTTATAAAAAAAAAACCAATGTGTATTATATTATAAACATTATACACACTGCTTGAACTGAAGGTGCACGTGGGGAGGGGGGATGGAGTACCTCTTCTTTTTAAAATATTTATGTGTGCCTCTTCTATAATTATAATAATATCATCTTAAATATCAATAAGACATTTAAATATTCTGGTACTCATGTTTTTTTAAACATACTTTTGCAACCACCTTCTAATTCTTTTCCTGCAATTCAAGCAATGGTTGTACCGTGTAATACAAATTCGTTATTATTGTTCAAGCAAAATCGAAATAATAAATTATAGATGTAAGCTCCTGTACAATATACCTAATATAATATTTAAATTTGACAGCATGACCGCGATAATTGCTGCAGGCCGGTATTTTCATATAAAATCCTAGTCGAACGGAAACCGAGACTGTTATGATATTATAGTACGACCGAGATAGTTTAAAACAACGGCGGCGTAAATTATGTAACATTTAGGTATACAGTACATTTTATGGCAATATTTTAACCGATAAACTACGCGAAGTATCACCGACACATAATACCGTTACGAGTTTGAATAATTATTTATAGTGCGGTAAACTTTGCATGAGCCTTAACACGACATTATAATATTATCATAAGAATATTACGAGTATACAGTTATAAAACAGAGGAATACTAAATATTATGTAGGCATAATAAGTAGTACTTATCAAACATTTTTGGAAGATCACAAAGTGACACATGTTCATTGTTATAATATTATTAAGTTGAAACTGTCGCTATGCTTATCCGTTTTAATCACTGATTGGATGTAAAAACGAATCGCATACAAAAAGTTATACGCAAATAAAGTAAAACGAGAACAATCCGTTTTTTTAGAAAATCGATTATTTACTCTTTATTAAGTTATAATGTGACTGTCCAAACTTTTATTGCACCGAAGACATTTATTTTTCATGACTGAGATTTAAGGAACATAAATAAAATAACTTTGTTTTGATTATAAAAGACATATACGATATACACTATACAGTCTAAAACTATCTGATGTACACGCAGTAATATTATTATATTTCCAAAAATCCTATATAACAAACGAAATTGTTTAGAATGTTTTATAGAACAATAGTTTAAAAAACGTGTTTTTTTATTTGATTTTTATAAGTTTATGGTAAAACAGTTCCAAATGCATTTACTTGTGCTTTATAAATTAAAAAAAGTGAACTATATAGTTTAATTGAAAATCATAATATAATATAATATATCACGTAGTAATAGAAATATCCAATGTTCCGTGTGCACTCAGAAATTATAGAAAATATATTATATGCAAAAATGTCACAAACGTTATTTACTTTTTTTGGTGAAAATATATTATCAACATAATTTTGGTTTATTAAAATAACTTTTAATTAAATCAATTATAAAATAGAAGTTTTTATTACTTTTACCTTATATAAACTTCTCTAATTATCTATTATAATATAAGAATATATGTAGACAAAATGAATACAAACTATGGGTAAAAAGGTTATTGGTTCAATGTCACACATAACACATTTTAGAAAAATACTTTAAACATTTAAAAGAAGCCGAAAACTTAAAACAAGAAGTATAAATGTTTGTATTGTCAGTAGAACTAAGGGCCTAATGCCCTAAAAATGCATACAATTATATCCTAAAAATATGCAAAAACGCTTAAATATGAGTTTAAAAAAAAAACACATTTAAATTGACATGCCTTTATACAGAAAGCACTAACAGATATATTTCTGCATCAGCTGCTTGAACAAATTGGATGACACGGTGGCTAACCAAGTGTCAAATGCTTACTTTTATATCCAATTTGAAAAAAAAAATGTAGCAATATATTTAAATATTATACAGAAATTACAGTGAAAATCACAAAAGTTAATTGTAAACAAGTGAAGATAGATCTATTTACTTAAATAATACAATTTTACAATACGGATTGTAATTTATAAATTTATAATACCCTTACTATAATTATTATGACTTACAAATTGCTTTTTCTTTTTTGTAGGTACTTGATAAAAATCGACTTAATTCAAAACATTAAGAAAAGAAAATAATTGTGTACGATTGTTATTTATTATAAAATGTATTTTGAATACGAACAAAGAGGTACATTGGCACTATCTGCAAAAATGCTACAGTTGCACGTACTACAACAGGTAGACATCAAATAATTGAGTTACGTACAAGTCGGTTATTTCATTACCTATAATAGTACAACTATAGTCATACCAGTTGATTAGAAAAATGTACGCATTGAGTTTGAAGATTAAAAATGTTGATTCATTTTTATTATGTCACAAATTAAATATCACAAATTCACCAAGTACCTAACAACAATTTATTTATTTCAATTTAAATAATATTCGTCCGCAGTTATAAAAACATTGGCATATCAATCGATTAAACTTCTAAATATTTACCATTCTTTTACAAGTATTCATTGTTACCTATAATAGATAAGGCATAAATTCTTACACATCATTACCTTATCTCAAAATGTAAACACTAAAACCTATTTGGATTTCAAAACATACTCTAAATTCTTTGACTTAATTTCATTTTTATTGGTTATTATTAATATAACAAGCAACAGTTTATTTATCATTAGAAGTACTTCATTAAATATGTTAATTATTGCAGTTGCAGTTACTAAACGATTTTAAACTATTTTTATGTTGGGTCAATGAGACAATGGTCTGAAATACTATATAATAAAATGTTAAAAACGTTTAGTAGCCTTATTTAATTAATACGTTCAATTTATCTCACTCTACAGTTCATAATATATAATGTTCTAATCTCGAATAGTATAGCATTTATTAACAAAGACCAATATTATAGTTATTGGACGATCATTTATATCAATATAATATACATAGGCATGTTCTAAATGGGAGCTGGAATACATATTATGCTATATGAAAGCAATAAAAGATCGTCTGTAACAAAAAAAAAAATTGAACTTGTCATCAGATAATGCAGGGGGGAACTTAGGTGGCGTTCCATACGCATGTAAATATAATATTGTTTCCTCTAAAAATACTCATAAGAAGGGGTCGGCTACCCTCATAAAGGGTCGTCCTCCGCCTACATCGTTATTATAACCAGTGTATGCAAATTGTATTATGTTAGTAAAGCAGCACCGACAGCAGTATATAGTAACAATCAAAAAACGGTAACAGTTGGGTCGTG